CCTCATTGACAGTCCCGTGTCATCGGGAGCCGGCAGGGACAGGTGGGAAATTCAGCTGCTCGCCTTGGATTTTTTTTTGCGGGGGGGCGGGGTTACATAAAAATGGCAGCATGCCAGCTGGGGCGGGGTTGGAGGCTGGAGACTGCAGCAATAGGTAGCTTATCAGACCGAGAGTGAGACTTGACAAAAAGAAACAGAATGAACGAGTGAAAAAGTTCAGGGGGCCACCACGAAAGAATGGGAGATATATTTTCCTTCTCCGGACAGACCCCGAGGGTCTTTCCCCTTCGTCCCCAGGTCATAATGATTTAAGACAACCAAGAAAAGGCCAAAGATTGGGTCTCACCTCTGGCTAACAAGTGCCCCTTTAAGAAGAAAAGGGGTGGGGCTATTTAAAGGCAAGGTCAGGATGGATTTTTTTTGCCCCCCAACAGAAATTATTTCCTCTTCTCTCCCGGCTTCTAGAGCAGGGATTAGAGGCCCTGGGCGAGCCAGGCCCCCAGCATGGCCAGCCCTGCGGCCAGGGAGAGCTGGGCCCCGGTGCCCGCGGCCGAGTTGCAGAATTCACCCTCGCAGCACTCGTAGGAGGTGCTGTAGGTGATGCCCGCGAAGGACGAGGTGTCGTTGGTGTGGCATTTCCCCTTGTCAACGCAGTTCTTCTTCATGATCAGCTTGTGGCCGGCTGTGGGGAGGGAGCGAGAAAGAGGGAATGAGACAGAGAGAAATGCAGAGGGCCGGAGAACGAGGGGACACGAGAGAAACGGAAGAGGAGAGAGGACGAGGAACTGGAAGAGGGAGCTGGCGAGGAGGAAGGGGTGTTACCTGCACGGCCCCGGATGATAGCGCAGAGCTGGTCGTCCTTGCAGGTGACGGTGGTGGTGTGGCAGGGGATGCCAAATACGGTGAAGTCGCATTTCAGGCACTGCAGGGCTGCTCCTGGGAACAGAGCGAGAAAGACTTGGTCTCATCCTATCTCCTTTTGGGGCTATTGGGGAGGGTGCAATGATCAGATTTACTAGCATTGGTGGCAGAGGTGGGATAGATAACAACAGTTTTATATTTAGCCCTGCCCCTGTAAAAACAGCTCAATTCTGGAATTCACACGCATCCTGATATGAGTACTCCAATTATTTTCACCCAACACACAGGAGTTACACAAAAACACTGAGATGCACAACAACACAGTTGTATAGACACAGACAATACCCAAGCACAATGCTGCACACCACACAAACACAGGGCTAGCCTTACAAAGCGAGGTGTGTGTGCACATTGGAAGCGACACAGGTTCACTCAACAGCCATCCGAAACATGACACAAACACACAAAATACACAGCTGTAAACCAACCACAGACACCCGCAAAAACACGCCAAGAAGGACACACCCACATAACACAAACATGGGCCCACAAAACTCCACCAGCACAAACAAAACACAAAAGCACACAAATACAAATGAGGCACAAACACAGGCACGCCAAACACGACGACACATACACAAACCCATGGGGACGTGCCACAAAGAACCAGTGCAGCACACACAACACAAAGCCAGGCACACACACAACACAACAGCACACAAAACACACCCGTGAAAAGCTGGGTGTGTTTTGGCAAGCGAGATTTCAAACCACGGGAAAAACAACCAAGCCTGGAAAATTGGACTCAAGGCCAAACCAAATCCAAATGCCTTTCCCGTGTGTCAGGCGGGTGTGTGTCCCTGCTGGTGTGTGTCCGCTGCACAGAAATTCCCTTGCTCGCTGGGCTCTGGGTCCCCCCAGCTCCAGCCAGCGTCCTGCCTGAGCCCGGGCCGAGGACAAGAGATCTCCCAGCTGCCCCCTTGGAGGGGAAATGGCAGGGGTGGGCGACCCGAGCAGAGCTTGGTGTGTGCCCTGGACTGGTGAGGAAGCAGGAAAACAGCCCCCCCCCCCCGCCCTATTTCCAAACTGTAGGTTGAAGAAAGGGAATTGTCTGCTGGAAAAGAACCCAGGAGTCCTGGCTTCCCTGCCCGGTCTAACCACTACACCCCAACCCACTGCTAGAGCCGGGGAGAGAACCCAGGAGTCCAGGCTCCCAGCCCCCCCGCTCTAATCACTAGACCCCATGCCCCTCCCAGAGCCAGGGAAAGAACCCCGGAGTCCTGGCTTCTAGCCCCGCTGCTCTAACCACTAGATCCCACTCTGCTCCCAGAGCCAGGGAGAGAACCCAGGAGTCCTGGCTCCCAGCCTGCCCCCCCATCCTACTAAAGTCCCTCTCCTGGGAGTGCAACAACTGGGCGGGTGGAACAATTTTTAAAGGCAGGTTTAATCAGGGTTGCGGGTGAGTCTGTTGGGTGGGGCACGACCTGGGGGGAAAATTAGGGGGCAATAGAAAATAGGGGGTGCAGTTTCCCACAGAAAATGCAAGTGTGCATGTAGGGGGAGGGTTCTGCCTACATCCTGGGGCCTCAAGAAAAGCCATGAGTTTGGGGGACCATCTGCTGACGAGGGGGGCTGGGAAGTGGGCAGACTTGGGAGCTAGCAGGAAAGTCATGGGGATGGGCTACTCCCAGCTCCAGATTGGTGGCAGCGGTGGGGTGAATCTTCGCCAATTTGCAGCCAGAGAGCGGAGGTGTAATCCCTAAAACCCGTGAGCCCCTCTGAGCCCCATGGCTGGGGGGGGGGCACTGAGGGAGTTGAACCACAGGCTCAAAGGGGAGGAGCCCCCCCCACTTCCAAACTGCACTGTTCAGAGCCACTTTCCTGCCCCCCCCCCCAATTTGGTTTGTTGAGTGGCAAAATTCTCCCCCAGGGCTCGGAAGGGAACCTGGCAAAGACAGAGGGAAGGGGGAGATTTTCCTAGGGGAGGAGAGAGAGTTGGGGGGGGATTTGTGTGGGGTAGGGCTGGGGCTTACCGATCCCGACAAAGCTCAGCGCGGCCAGGCACAGAAGGAGGACTTTGCCCATGGTCGTTGAGGGGTGGAAGATCAGACAGTCCTTGGGCTGGGCGGTCGGAGGAGAGTCAGTCTGGTTGTGATCTGTGCCGTTATATATATACACATTGGCACAAACACACACACACACACGGGGTGGGTGTGGCAGGGGTTTGGTGCCAGGGACAGCTGCAGAGGGGGGCAGGACACATGATCGCCAAAGGGTATAAAAATAAGCAGCCGGTTAGTGACTCAGAGAGAGATGGGAATGCAAGGAGACTAGGTGTAAACACACACAAACACAACACAGCTACACACACACCAGCCAGCCACACCCCTCCAGTTACACACACACACGACCCGTCTAAATGCCAACTAAACCCACCAGCTACACACACACACCTAGCTACACACACACACACCAGCTACACACACACACACCAGCTACAGCCCAGCTACACACACACAAACACCCTAGCTACACACAGACACATACACCCACGGCAGCTACACCCTTCCCAGCTACTACCCAGCTACACACACACACAAACACCCTAGCTACACACAGACACATACATTTCCAGCCACACCCACCCACCCAGCTACACACACACACACACAAACACACACAGCTAGATACCCCCCCAGCTACACATACACAAACCTCTCAGCTACACCCCAGCTATGCACACACACATACACCCCCAGCCACACACACACATGCCCCAGCTACAACCCAGCTACACACACACGCACACACACAGAGTTACAGGTACAAAGACACAAACAGGGATAAATAGGTAAACAAACTAGAGAAACACACCCACACTGACAACAGACACAACAACAGAGACCCAGGAGGGGAGGTCTAGTGGTTGGGGGGGGGGGACTGGGAGCCAGGACTCCTGGGTTCTCTCCCCGGCTCCTGGAGGGGCCTGGGGGCTAGTGGCTGAAGCATGGGGGCGGGGAGGTGGGCAGTGGGTGAGGCGAAGCCATGATGTCACACGTGGGAGGAGCCGGACCCCCGTGAGGTCACAGCCATGATGACATCATGGGCACCGTGTGAGAGGTCAGGAGGTGGGTGAGGTCCCCGCCCTGATGAAACACAAGGCATCATGGGACACACGGTGTCAGCACCATGGCAATGCCAAGGAGGTCATAGGTCATGGGAGGTCAGCTCAAGGGGGTGATCAGCCACATGGGGTCACAGCCATGGCAACCCCCAGGGGGTCAGAGGTCACACAGCCAAAGAGTTCAAAGGCCAAATGGGGTCACAGGTTACATTAGGTCAAGGAGGTTATGGGTCGCATGAGGTCATCACTATGGCAATTGCATGGTGCTCATCATAGCCAGGTTAACACCATGGCGACACTCACGAGGTCGCAGGTCCGCAGAGGTCATAGGTCATGGAACTCCATGCGGGTGATAAGGCACCTGGCAGCATTGCCACGACGACGACATGGGGATGGCCGGCCGTCTCCACGGCAACACCGGGGACATCATCACCATGACAATATGGCAGGCGGGGCGGAGCCTCTCCATCCTGGAGACGCCTCCCCCAGT